CGTCGCAGCCGTCCCTTATCAGTCGCATGGCACGACGCGGTGAACGGTCCTCCAGCAAGACCAACCCCCAGAGCACACCAGATGTCGGGGTCTATGTCTACGGGACATCGACGTCTGCGTCTGCGTCCGGGTCCGGGTCCGGGTCTGGCCCGTCTGCTCCCGCCTCCGCTTCCTCTTCCCGCCCGTCTTCGCCCGCCAACGCGTCCGCCTCCCGCCCGTCTTCCCCTCGCTCGAAAACGACAATAACGCTCATCTTTCCGCACACCGATTAGCGATGGTGCGCGCTCGATGCCCTGGAGTTACCGTGTTCCGTCATGCTCACTGACGCCGCATTTGACAGGACGTCAAGAGGGGCCGTCGGCGACCGCGCTGGTCAGCCAGCGGTGAGCTCCACAACATATGCGTACGTCCTAGCACTCGTTGTATTTGCCTATTCTCTCCTGACCGCTTGGGACAATGTAGCGGGTTTGCTGATGACAGGTTCGCGCAACCGCGTTGCTGAGGCGACCATGTCCTCTAGATCTTCCCCCACAGTGACGCATAAGTAGTATGTGACTCATCTTGGCGCTCATGTGCCCTCGTACAGTATTTACGTATTGCTCCACGCTTTTTTTGCCGTACAAGTACTCGTTATCGCCCATGCGGTAGCCGCGTGAGGTGACAGTTTTTGTTGCTGTTCACGCGCGACATAACTTATCACCATTGGCCTAGTTTCTGCGTGGCTTCTCGAGATGGCGCAGCCCATATCCAGGACGTGGATGGCTTCCTCCCCCCTTTGCGGATCGCCGTATATAAGTACACGCTTTCGCTCCCTTCCTGTCCTTAAATCTCAACGCCATTTGCCGCCCGCCGCCGCCATAGTCCTCTCTACTTCCCTATATTGACCCCTCTCCCTTCTCTGCTAACTTTACCTCATGGATACTTCTGGCATGATTGCTTTCGACGTCATAGTGATTCCGGCCGACGATCGCCTGCCTTGCATCGTGCCACTCATGACCAGCCCACTTGCCTCACCCGCCTCACCCGCCTCACCCGCCTTATCCGTCGAGCCCTATCGCTGCGGCCGCATCCCGCACCCGGAGATCTACATGGATTACGTTGTCGAACAGTCAGGATCTCAGGCATGGCGCTTTCATGTGGGTTCAATTTTCGTGGTCTGATCACCAGACTGTATCGCTAATTTGTCATGTCTTTTTACACACGCGGCTCGCAGCTCATAGAAGCTCTCGACGGCATGCTCAACAAGTTCCCGGCGCCCTACATCGTCTTCTACCCCGTTGCGTCGCGCGATGGCATGCCGTTTCCGGTGAACAAGTGTGTCCGCACAATCCAGGGCGACAACTTTGCCGAGGCGGGAGCATGGCAGGGCGACCTCGTTGTAGCGAAGTACAGGGATACAGAATACTCAGCAATGATCAACGCCTCGATGGCGGATTTCCCACTCATCAAAAATTACCTGTCAACTAAGCCAACACCGTCGTGAGAGGTTGGCGTCCATGGAATTCACTGGTGAATCGAAAACATACTTACTATTGTTGCACAGGCTCGCATGGTTTGATCGGGTATCAAACGACGCTGGCTGGCACACTGTCACAAACGCGTTGAAACACTTCACCGTCGCAGACCTCATGCGGATAGCAAACGCTCTACCTCGAGCTAAATTGTCGTACCTTGTTTTGTAGCGGGCGAGAGCGCCCATATATAGTTCACCCTGAAGGACCACACACTGGGGTGTGCGCTGCAGCGAGTAACCAATCCCAACGCGCACAGGTCGGGGCTCTTCGTACTTGGGGCGCACGGGGACGAGGAATCCGTCCTTTCGCATCGCGGTGATCATGGCTGCTGAATAGTCTGCTGGAAGCGCCCTGCGCCAAATAAGCAACAACCGTCAGCGAAGGCGGCGCATCATACAAGCCTCAAGGCGCTTGCGCTGCTGCGCACGCATCCCAATCTGATTCCAGGGATGCTAGCCACTCTGCTCGTGCGCTCGAGGCCTCCGAAACACAGTCGAGTCCGGTGCGGCGGAGGGTCGAACTCTTCCCCGCGTGTGTTCAGTCGAGTCGATGTCCCAAATTAAGGTTCTTACCGAAAATTCAACCTTCCTCATGTTCCAGTGGCATCCATACCGATAGACCGTTGCGAGTCTCTTGCGTTCATGGAGCTTGGAGCACCCGCACGCCCTATACCAAACACGACAGCCTCACTCTGGGTAGACGATGTATTGATGCGGAAGAGTGGTATTCACTAGCGTGCGTCAGGAATTCCTAGCACAGCCTAAGCCAGATGGACATGACTATCAAGATGATTGCTAAGAGCACTGAAAACCAGTCGCACAAAGCGCGACTTTCCCGAGACCTACGACCATGCACAAAGGATGGTTTGGCGACCAGAGCGAGGCGCGACATCGCCGTAAGCTCGGGGGGTAAAGGCACGTGAACCAGGTCTACAGGTGGCTGTCCCACACCACAGATACGTTAAGCAATCGCTGACAATGTAGACAATAGTAACCTACCAAGGGCTCTCCATATGTCAGGCGAAGCTTCTCATCCAAAGACGACGTGTCGGCCCTGAGATGCCCTGTGAGATCGAATTAGCACGCCCGTGGCGATGTAGTTTCTGACGAATGCCTCAACGCACATTGGACCGCATCGGTCAAGAGTTCAAGAAACTTCTGCTGGCTGATGAGGAACCTAGCATGGAAGGTGCCGTCTTCAGACGAGGGGCAGACCTACGGAGAGCCGTGGTAAGCTCAAGCCTAGACTACGACATGAGACGCACCAATGCGACCGCGACATCGTTCACTGGGCTGCCGCGGGTGGCGTCTCGCTGAGTGAGAGTACACTCCGTTATGAGGGCTCTGTGAGTCGCATTCCTTGAGGATGGACGATAAACGTCGTTGAAGGTAAGCTGTTTTGAATGAGAACATATCATTGCCTATACCACCACACAAAGAAAGCAGTACTCACCGTCGGTTTAAGAGCCCGCCCAATGGGCACGATGACTGATCGAAGAGGCCCGCACTTGATAATTATCTATTGGCTGGAGTGAACAAGTGGAGGGCTGTGGGCACGTACTGGACGGGGTGCGTCGGCCAAATCAAAGGGATCGAGAACATCCTCGGGGGTATCCTGACGGCGAATGATGAAAGGGTGGATGTAAAGTGGGGGATGTGCAAACCATATCGCCCCCCTCGACTATTCTGAACTCCTCGCGTTGTTTCCCAAGCGAAGACGGCATGACCAGGGGAGAGGAGAACAAGCAGTGCCTCAGGAGGGTTCGTAAACATGCATTCCGCGTCCCTTTATAGGTTGTGCCACTCGCGCGTCCTCGTGGAATTGTCACGTTATCCGCGCCTAGATACATTCGGCCAGAGGACACGCGTATGGCTAGACCCTGGGAAGCACCCATACGTAGACCACGACTTAATGATTTTTTGAAGGGAGAATGCGGACCGTCCACTACAGCTCAACCGCCTATCCATGCAAGCACGGTTCAAGTGTCAGAGGCTGGCACGCCAGGTCCCACCGATGGCCGGAACAAACATACATTCATTGATTACGAGTGCTAGGACGTACGCATATGTTGTGGAGCTCACCGCTGGCTGACCAGCGCGGTCGCCGACGGCCCCTCTTGACGTCCTGTCAAATGCGGCGTCAGTGAGCATGACGGAACACGGTAACTCCAGGGCATCGAGCGCGCACCATCGCTAATCGGTGTGCGGAAAGATGAGCGTTATTGTCGTTTTCGAGCGAGGGGAAGACGGGCGGGAGGCGGACGCGTTGGCGGGCGAAGACGGGCGGGAAGAGGAAGCGGAGGCGGGAGCAGACGGGCCAGACCCGGACCCGGACCCGGACGCAGACGCAGACGTCGATGTCCCGTAGACATAGACCCCGACATCTGGTGTGCTCTGGGGGTTGGTCTTGCTGGAGGACCGTTCACCGCGTCGTGCCATGCGACTGATAAGGGACGGCTGCGACGGGGATGCGCCCTGCAACGAGCGATCAGCACCAAATGAGAGACGTGCGAGACCGGGCTGAAGTGCGAGAATGGGTCGTATGGACTCACATTGCGGGCCTTCGCGAACCTTCGACCTTCGAGGTCGCTTAGGCGGGAATGAAGCTTGTAGAGCGCGTTCTGCTTCTGCGCGACTTCCGCGCGCAGACGCTCCGCCTTCGCGGCCTCCTGTACGACGTGCTTGGCCCGGGCGGGCTGCGACACGCTCTTGA